CGAGAGTATTAATCATTTATTTCCACAATAAATTTATCTTAAAATGTTTACATGTCAAATAGCAAATATCGGCTTTATTTGGTATACTAGAACTAATTCAACTGACTAGTCAAACTGTACTACAATTAACATTTTAAGAAAACTGAAGTTTTGTGCATTAGTACAAAACTACAAAGGTGTCCTTAGCTACATATAAAGCATTAACAAATCTTTACAACATTCTCAATTGTTAAGGTGTTATGTCGGTTTATGTGCTCTTTGGATGAAAATACCTTTACATATTTTATCTTCAGGTCTAACCAATGTGGTGGATGTTTTGATGAGTGGTATCTACCCAGTGATGGAAGACGGGTTTGGTGCTGGGCTAATTAATGCTGTTATACAAATACAAATTGAAATACAGTAATTTCAATCAGTTTGCTGAAGTATAGTTTTATTAACATATAGTTACTTATTATCGGGTAGGCATTATTCATTAGTAACCTATTATCGGGTAGGCATTATTCATAAGTAACCAATGGAATTGGAATTGTAGAGACGTATATATCGGCTGTTTTTATTTTAGGTTTATGACAACACAGAAAATATCAAAACCATCTACTTTTTATTAAGTGTTCTATCAGCAACGTGACCTTACTTATGAGAGAGAAAGAGAGAGCTTTCATAATTTAAGATTAATTTTTTTCTGTACTCATATCACAAGCAAAGCTAGCCGACAAAATGTGTTTAAATTCACAGAGATATTCTATATTTTAACAAAACCGCAAAGTAAACATGCATTTATAGTGTACTTTAACAAAGGACATTTCGTTTTTCTCTATTTAAATGCCGGTGATATTTGTGCTGCGTCGAAGCCGTAAAAGTTGCCCCGTACATATAATCAAAGATGCTATATTTTCGATCCTTGAAGTTCTTTCAGCGCGATATTATTGATGTGTGCACATGTTTTTTATTTCTTTTTTATTCTAATTTTTTTTAAACCTGATTACTGTAAAATCACCCTTAGGATATGCTGCCTGTTTTTAAATTTGTCTCCTGACGTCTTGTCTGTGAGTTGTATGCTTCATAACCTCTGATCCCCTTTCAAAATTCCATTTTATTTAGTTCTGCCTATTATTTTCTCGATTACGGCATACGCATTCTTTTTATTGGAACCATACGTCACTTGTCATTTACGTGTCCTATTGAAGGTTCCACGATAACCGCCGTATGAACACATCTACGGATGTTTCTAAATTTTCAACAAAGTTTCATCATTTTTATTGTTAAATGTTGAATTCTGCTTAGGCCGGTGCTAGGGGTGTTGAGGATAAATTGCACTTGCCAGTACCGTCCATGAAAGGCAAAATGAAACCGAGCCTGTAACATTTTCAATTTGTCCTTTTTAGCGTTTTAAAGATACAGTTTTTCTCTATGTTTTTAGCTTATTCTCACACTCGTTTCTGACTACCAGTATCGTGCAAACCTGCTATGATGGTGTAATTAATATGTCATTTTATTTTCGAGAAAAAGACCGAGAGAAAAAGAAAATAAAAAATGTGAGTAAGTAGATTGTAATTATTGAAAAAAATGTCAGCAGGATATACAATGCAAAAGTGAATATTTAAAAAGCTTATTAGGATATATTGATTAAGAAAGGAATGGTGTATGTAAGGGTCATTGGTCAACTCAATGTCAGAGTGGGATATTTATCATTTGAAACGACCTACTCGTTAAATGAAAGTAAGTACCTGTGTGAAAATAAATGGCCTATTTTCAATGTCCAAGGATTCATTCTAAATAGAAGGGTTTCTAAAGTAACTGGTGGATATGCAAGTTATTTCTGAGAAGATCGGGTTTTTGGTTTGTGAAAATCGGACAGTGTTCGAGAAAGTGATACGTATACTTAAGTCCTCCACAAGGACACGTTGCAGAGTCTATTATTTTAGTACATATGTTCCTTTATGAGCTTGAGTGCATGCGAAGACGTGCTTGTTGAATAGCTGTCTATCTGTTACGAATATAGAAAAAAGAGTTTGTATATTTCTTTAATGATTCGAAAACCCAAGGCTGTAAGAGTTGGTGTTTCCAACAAAAGGAGGGATAAGGTCAGATAGAAAAAGGAGAGGCTCTTAGTACGTCGCCGCCTCTATTTGTATTATCCCAATTTCCTCAGCCAATGTAATGTAAAACATACGTACCAGATCAACTGTCATAATGATACATTTCGTAATATTTATAAACATATCAACTTCGATTTTTACCTACCTCGAACCAGTTAAAATGCTTTTCATCTTTAGGTCGTTTCATACAATAAAATAAGTATTCTGGACGAGAAAGGAATGAGCAAATGATTTGGAAACATTTTGCACACAAATTACCTCCAACTACAACTTAAAAAATAAATGGTTTTGAAACCGAGTACCTATGATTTTCGGGGGGAATTTATGCCATGAACCATTTCCTATTATTGGCATTTCAAAAATTTAATTCAACTTTTGTTTTCGTTAATATGTATTGTCACTTTCGTTGTCATTCGAAACAGAGTAGGCCTATTTGCAACAAGTAAATTAATCAAATATAGGTATTCTAAAACTACTGCTTCCGAAAAAGACATTGTTAACAATCATATCACTAATATTTCAAGTCTTAAAGTCCGAATCGATGAAAAGAAAAACAATAACTTCCTATTATGTATTAGATTCCTAAATTACATAAAAAAAACTTACAAGACCAGACTCCATCAAGCACAACAAGTAATCTTTCTATTTTATTGACGTTTTGTTTGACTGCCATTAAAACACATGTAATAAGATATTGTGATAAAGTGCACGAAAACACCGGCAAACATCTATTTTGGTCTATTATGAAATCTGAAAAAAATTTGGATAAATTGAAAATCAAGAACTATCAAGCTTCAACTGTCAGTACATGCGATTTTACTACCCTTTACATAATTTAATCAATAATAAACTTATTGCCCTTATTATGTCTTTGTGGTTTCATATTGTTTTCGTGACACTATTGTTTGTGTCCCTTGTTGTTTTCCTGTCTACGGTAAGTATCTTCCCTATTGTCCCTATTTTTATTCTCTTATTTTGACCCCCCTTCTCCGAATGAATCACCTTTCTCCTTCCCATGTGCCCTTTGTTGACCCATTATTCAATCATTTATTTGTTTTCTTTGATTTCCCTGTCGGTTACTAATATTTTTTTTATATATCATTTTGGTGCTTGGCCTGTCCGGGCTCTGTCTTGCACTCTGTCCTAAGTGCTGGAATATCGTGCCCACTTCTTCCATCTAAAGGTCATGTAGAAATCATAATTGAATCATGAAATCAAGTAGAAAACATTTACAATTTGAAGAATATTGTGTCGGATAGAGGTGCAGGTGTGCGTTTTGTAATACAAGAGTTTTTCTGTGTAAGTATTGATCAATTGCCACTATACTATATTGATATCATGATTGTTTTACTAAGGACGTCTACCAATACATAAACTTTTTCCCCCGAATTGTCTACAACGAAATGATTTTATTTCATTAAATTGATACAAATATCAAGTTTCATCTAAGCTGTATTTGGTAGAAAAAAATTAAAATACGAGTATCTCCTTCTCTTAGCGCTTATCATTTCTTATATCTCTTTTGTTTCCACTTTTTTTATAACTTTTGCAAACCATATCTTAAAAACGTAATAAGCATTATTACAAAATATATATATATATATATATATATATATATATATTATATATATATATAATATATATATATATATATATATATATATATAATATATATATATATATATAATATATATATATATATATATATATATATATAATTGATATTTTGATATTTTCATGTTTCATTTTAGCACGATTGCATGAGCAAATCCTATTTGTTCACAGTTCAAAAATATAAATCTTTCTGAAACGAGGTGGGAGAACCAATAATAGTCTGAAATATTTTTTTTTATTTTGTGCATTAGGCACTCAAACGGTTAGATTTGATATTTTTGTTACTTCTAAAAGGAAGGGGAAAATCACGTTATGGTAACAAATAAAGTTTAAATAGAAAGATACTTATTTGTCCTTGGAGAACGTGCACATGTTTACTGTACAACACGTTAATAACGTTTATATTTTATGGCGAAAACTGTTTTGAAAGCTTTTCACTATTTCTTATTTTCTTTTCGATTCATCAATAAGATTTAGAATAGAATTTCGTTTGAAGGTAACAAAGTATTCTTCATAACACTCAATTATTAAACTATTTCCGATTGTAATTAAGGAAACATGAAATTTTGATGTATCACTTCATTTAATTATTTTAAACCTACAACGTAACTGCCATTGTCAGTTTTTCAGGCAAAGATGTTAAAACTCTAAAAAAAACAAACCTTTGAGTAACACTACCCTTAATTGTAATTATTTGATAATTATCTCTTAACATCTGTATACTCGTACTAGGACAGACTTTTCTTTTTTTGTAGGCGTATGCTAGTGTTACATATAGATTCAGCAGATTGGAAGCTATATTTATCTGAACATTGTATGATTTTAGAATATGATAACAGAAATATTTTAAGCCCAAAATATTCAAGTAATCTACCTTGTTTTCGAGTTGACTGTCCTTGTGCTTTACTCTTTTTATTCTCTTAGTCATTTCTAGAGCAGATCACTTTTACAGAAGTCCGACAAACCTTTTGTTTTCCATTTTATCCTAGCACATGTTTAAGTAAAGAAGAAGAAAAAAATCTATTAAATAACAATTATCGATTTTTTTAAATCACACAAAAGGACGTCAGCAAAATTATGAGCAGAAAAAATGAGACATTGCTAAATTTGATTGCGAATTAGCTGCCTTTAAAAATAAACAAACTTTCCGAATTCAAATGTAGATTACTCGAAAATTTGGTAGGTGATCCCGGTCCGTTGATTTGTTTTGCTTGAAATGTTTCTGTTATTATTCTAAGATCATGCCAGCTGTAAATAAATTATGATGAACAGTTTCATTCTGTCTTTATGTCGATATGTAACTCCTTTCGCTTTTGAAAAAAAATACTTACACAATATTTCTAATATTATGTTTATTTCTTTACGTTTGTTACATATAGTGCTATGACAAAACAATTTAAGTTGATTTTTTTAAGAAACGACCCGTCGTGCGAATGACATTTTAAACTGTAAACACACTTTGGGAATTCTACTATAATATTTCTTGAAGAATTCACAGGCTTAAATGTCTTCAAATTAATTTGTTTAATGAAACATTTAAGCATTTACAACATTTTGCTTACATTTGCTTACATAAAATAACAGTGAAGTATATATAATCTTAACAAAATATTTAAGAATCATAAACAAAAGATTTGATTCGGAAATAAATATTCATTTTATAAAAAAGAATATATACCTTAAAGAACTGCAATAACATTTTTATTATATAAATTAATGAATGGAAAATGTTGATCCATTGGAAGTATCAAAAACAGAAAATTTCGGAAAATTGCAGACTCGGTTTGATTGAGTCTGTACAAGAGGGATAATTAAAAATCCTTCACGCCCACTAGCAGAGCGGTTCTCAATTCTCAACACTTAAAAGTGCTGGAATCAATGTACACTATGTGGGCTAAAACACACAACAAAAATACGACATACCCGACATTCATTAAAGTTGTATATTTAACGGATTGAGACATGGTCAAGTGTTTAACGCACAGTACTAGTAACATAAGTATCGCTCAACTCCCATCAGAGACCAGCCGTTGTTTCCTTGAGCAAGAAACTTGACAATCATTGCTGAGTACTGTTTGGATGAAGGAATGGATTCGAGAGTGTGACTATAAGCTTACATCTTCCAATACAATCGAACTTAAATTCATTGCGTATAAACTAATTCCTTTTGTGCAACAATGTTGATTCAAATGTAAAATTGACCAATTTATATTTCAAATCATCAACACATAAAATGATAAAACTTTTTCTGTTTGAGGAAAAACATTTATTGAGTAGAACTTCAATTAAAACAAACAAGTGAAGCGGAATTCATCATGACCAATCATGTATATCTAGTCCACTGCTGTATCCCCTCGTCATTGATTCACATCCCGGCATCTTTCGTTGAGACTACTCAGATAATACATTGCTTAAGCTACAAAGAAAGAAAGGAAAACTTTTGCATTTATATATAGTTGATATTTTCAAATCCAGAATATCAATATGTCATTATTTATCGATCATATTCATAATAGTAGTAGGCAATTTAAATTCTCGTTGAGAGCGATTAAAAAGAGAAAAAGTACAGACAACTAGGTTTGATTAAAGAGATAAACCATGCAAGATCTTCCAAGCTCCTCAACATTACACAATGGATGTAACGAAGTTATAATAAATATCTTTACCATTGTGTAGCCTTTTAGACGTACATAAAGTTAAAAAATGACATAAGAGTATATACATTCAAAAGATTACGCTCCCTTCGCGTTACTTCACAGATGCGCGCAGGTAAGTATCAAAATATTAGGTATGTGTATAACTGATTGTGAAATATTATATATTATAATCATACCGCATCCAACGAACGCTGAACATATATTCGGAGACCCCATGCCATCATTTTGACAACCGCTCCAGTCAGCGGCACCGTCACAGTTCAGTTTGATACCAAATTCCACACCCATATCTTGTAATAATGAATCTGTATCACCACCAGCACTCACACTCTTGAACGATTTTCTGGATATATAATAAATCACAGTTATCTGTTAGCATTTGACTGTTTTGAACAAATTTAATAAGATACAAAGTTTTGTCCATCATTTGGAAGCTAAAACATGTATACAAGACATCAATCAACACTCTCTTAATTCTCTTTGGTAAACGCAGAATCAATGACATTCAGTTAATAAAACTGAAATAATGTTATAAGGAAACTGAAAAATGAAAAAAAAATATTGTCATACCCTCCGCAACCAATTTCAGCAGCTGCTGCACCTTTTCCTTCATCACAAACCACACCTGGGCTATTATAAGCCTGTATCAAGACAAAACCAGATTTTACCTCCGTTGCTGTGACATCAGGGGCGGCAGCTGTAAGCAGTAACAACGAAATTAAAATAAATTACATTTGCTATTATTATCAAATTAAAATATTATCTTATTTACGGAAAGAATAGCTTCTTTTTAATATTAAAAAATCTGAAATATCTAATAACGGGATATGTAGTGCAGATGTTATGAACATTCTGAAGAAAAAAACCCAAAAAACAACAACAACTAAAACAAACCAAACAACAACAAATCTCTTCAGAGCAGTAAATGAATCTTTATAACGTCTTTTAAGCCCGTTTATACAATCGACAGAAATATTTTAAAGCAAACACGTTAAAATATCAGAAGCAATCATCCCAAAAAATAGAAATATGTATATGCATTTGTGTGAAACATGTGACAATAGACATTCAATTGGCTCATGTCCCATAAACATGCGCAAACGGTAGCTTTACATATATGCCAAACAATATTTTTACTTTCATTGCATATGTTTCAACTCTATGGAATGAGTTTCATTTTACAATCAGTGTTCATTTGTAAACATTGAATTCATTGTTTTGCTATATATTTTGACAAATCTAATTATAGATAAAATGTCTTGCTATCTACTTGCATTTTGGACATTTTTAAAACACAAAACTATTGATCATGCAAAATATTCAAGATTTTATTCTAAGAAATGAAATAATTTACCTTTTTTCAATAAAGTAGCAGTTGACACTGAAAACAAATGGTGAAAATAAAAAGTTTCATGAAAATATGTAAATGGAATTTTTTCTGAACGAAATATTTCATGATATAAAGTTATGATACTTAATTCGATTTTTCAAAAAATATAACCTAAATTGGTGCTAGAATAAATCGCAAACATGGCAAGCATTATTGATATATATGTTTTACTTGCTAATGGTAAAATGGTAAAATATTAGAAAAATAAACATAATTTAATACATCTAACTTAATATGAATTAGTTGATCGTTTAGTTACATGTGGAATGTCATTGAATAAAGTGAATAAAAAATCTCCGAAATCACAAAATGTTTTATTAGTTTTTAACAAAAAGCAAAATTAAGATTACAAGCATAAAATCTGAAAATGAAAATTGCATGAACTACAACATAAAGAACACTTACCTGCAAGAACCAGAGTAAAGCAAAGTGCAACAATCTTCATTTTCTACCACAAAATATCTCGCAAAAATATATTATCTAAGAAAGTGTGACCGGTGTTGATAAAAACTGGCCAGGAGTCTTACTATATATAGCAATCGTTTTACATCAAACGTCTATGCTAAGAAGTTATTTTCGAACCAATCTAATCATTAATGCTGATTACGACAATTACCAATAATTATAGTAAATCTTTTTTTTTAGAAGTAAGAATTATTAAAGCAAATGCTTAAATGTTAAGAACAGTAAGTAACATATTTTCATGTGTGTCAGTTTCTTTGAAGTGGTTGTAGAAAATTACTTGCCATAAAGTTGAAAACTAGAGATTGTACTAGACGTTCGTATTAGACGTTTGTATACTATGATCACCAACAATTTCAATGCGCGCCAATGATTACAAGTATAGAACAATTACATCAACATTATTTTATACGATGATTGACCGAAATAATTTCTTGAAAAAAGCATGCATGTATGAGGGAGCTGCATTCATCTAAATACAAAGAAACTGAACTTGCCACTTTAGAATGTTTTCACGAGATAGTAATAGAAGTAGTTCTAAAATGATGGTTACTCTAATGCTTTAACCATTAACCTACTATCAGCAACACATTCTACACAGATATCCATGCCGTCTAATCATTGTCTGCCTCGCTGGACTAATTAGTATAAGAGACATACAACACACATGCTAATATATGTTGCTAATATTTTGCGAAAAGAGCAAAAAGATATACATTTGTGAGACTTTTCTGAAAATAGTCTTCCACATATTACGTCTACTGAAACCATAGTAACAGTTTTTTTTAACATATAATGGAACGATAAATGTAGTCCAAAGGCCAAAAGTTGTCATCTTATAAAGAAGAAAATATTTGAACATAAAAAATGCAGTAAAAAAATCAGTAAGATTGTTCTGTGTGCTCTTCAGTGCAGTTAGTGTCTCATTTTACAAGTTTAATGAACATAATATGAAATGTTGCACAATTTATGTTCTTAAAGAAATTTCATTAGTCGAGCCCTTGTAAGAAAAAATTATTTGATTAAAGTAGAGAAAATAAGAACCGCTAAAGAAAATCTAAAACGGCAAAATTGTAAAGTGCAAACTACCGTCCACGCCCCCTAACACCGGCTTAAGCAGAATTCAACATTTAAACATGATATGGTAAAATATTGAATTTAAATACATACGCAGATGTGTTCATACGGCGGTTATCATGGAACGTTGTCACAGCAGTGTCATTCCATGAAAAGCGGGATTGAGATACTGTACCCAAGATTGCGATATTGATCCGTGTGTAAGGGAACATGGCCTTGGATATCCACTGAATAAGATAGATAATCCAATTTGCAAGTAAAAACAATATTATTCCCTACCGATATCGTTTTGTTCTATGAAATGCTGTATTATTTAACTTTTCCATATAAGTGGTTTATATGTGGAATCAGGAGATATAATTAACTATTGTTCAACTACAGTTTGTGTGTGTGCCCTGGGAAACCTTGTTACGCTGAAGCATGTGAAATATTCATAAAAATTATTAATGAAAAATCGAAGAAATAAATTTAAAGGTATTCCTAATTTAATTAATTTGTTTAATTACATGGGCGATTTAGCCAATACCTTATTGAATTCAACCTACCGAAAGAAAATATAGTCGCACTGAGATCAATTTGTCAATGATATAAGGTTCTTACCGTAAAAAATTATCTTTCTCTTTTAACTTTTATATCTAAATATCTACCATCTATCGGCAAGGCATCAGGTGCAGATTTACATAAAAGATCTTCATTTAAGGGAAAATAAAGCAAAGAGCGTCAATTTATGATGAAAATCAAACGAGATATAAAGAGCACATATAAATAAAATCATAGACAAGAAACCTAACACTATAGATCTAAACATTTGCTTTTTTTTAAATCTCAGAAAGTAAAGAATGAAAACGGAACATATGGACTAAAATTTATGACCTTATTTTTTATTTATTAATATTAAAAACACCTGTTTCTGAAAACACTATAAAAGTTAAACAGAAAAACAAACAAACATAAATAGATGTTTTTGTACATGTATTTATTTTCCTGATGTTACGCAAGCTATGGAATGAATGTTTGAAAAATATAACATGATTTATATATAAATTGATATACTACATTCATATCACAAATATTATTATTAAATAAATATTTAAAATTTACAACTTGAGCTATAGGAAACCTAATTGATTGATACTTTTTTGCGTGATTTTACTATTTCTTGCTACAGCTAAACTTATACGAGTTGTTTTTGCTAGCATCATACATTACTTAATTAAATGATATTTGATAGTGTTGTATGTCAGTAATGTGTGACAACATGTTACTTTAATTGATGCTATTAGATGGTGTATTATTAAAATACATGTACAAGTATTTATAAGTATGCTCTAAGTTAAATATGTAAATATAACCGTCACCTCTCCCATCGTCAGACTGGCCAGAGGCTGACTCGGTGTAATTTGGCCTGGCTGTGGAAACGTACTTTTCTATACTTGTACTGTTATATATTTATTTATACGCCTTTGACGCGGCTTAGAGAAGTCTGTTTACTGGTGTTATGTACATAAATGTATGATTGACAACATCGTATTTTTTGTTGTAGCTGTCTCTTTTTTGTAAGTGTATGCATACTAAAAATATTTATATTTATGCAATTTCAACTTGATGTTATAAAGCCTGATATCATTTGTGTAACAGACAAATATAATTACGGGAAAACATTATACTTTGCACGTGCGTGCATATCAATACTGGTGTACATGTATTTACATAAAATCTGGTGACAGGACCAGTGGCTAAACTTCACACTATATATTTTTTTGCACCAAAAGATGTAGTTGCGGATCTCAAATTATTTAATGCTTTACAAGATAAATAATTATTGACAGCTTATTGAGATCTCCCTTTTTCTACTTATTTTGTTCATTACATACATATTAAATTATTTAATAGTTTACAAGACAAATAATTAATTACAATTTATTGAGATCTCCCTTTTTCTATTTATTTTGTTCATAACATACACATAAATTATTCAATGGTTTACAAGACAAATAATTATTGACAATTTATTGAGATCTCCCTTTTTCTACTTATTTTGTTCATTACATACATATTAAATTATTCAATGGTTTTCAAGACAAATAATTATTGACAATTTATTGAGATCTTTTGTTCATTACATTTATATACGCTTTCTTTCCAATTATTTATTATTAAAATATAACTGCACATTAATAACTTTAAAAATGAATCTCTTAGATCTTTTGTCATATATTATTCAATCTCACACGAATCAAATTTACACATTATGTTTATCTTTTATTTTATTTTTTACTTCTTCACTTTCTTCTCCTTAAAGACCGACTTGATTTATCATTTACTCTTGAAAGTTGTTTCACTGTCAATTTTATACATAAATTAACTTTCTGTGATGACTCGTATGTCTTACATGTGTTTGAACAAGGTGTAACATGAAGATGAAACCATTGGCCAAACCAGTCATCATGAATTTGTTCAAACTTAACACACATTGGCGATTCTATGCAATATTTAAAGTTTTTATATACCTACATCTATCAACTTCTTCTGTGTCGATAATGCAGTCATTACTCACTCATCAGAATGACATAATAAACTGTACATTCAGCTTCAAACGCACACATCCTATGTCTGCAATTCACTACAGAAATGTCACATTCACATATGTAATATTGTCTCTGCTAATAAGCATCCAATGTTCACTCTTAGGATTTCTCATGTGTTTGATATGCCTTTCTTGGTGATGTGCATCCTAATCCTGGGCCAGACGTTTCTAGATCAAATTCAAGTAGTTCCCTTTCTTCCAAATCCAGCATAGCCTTGACAGATATTTCCTCTTATTTTTCTTTTATGCACTACAATGTTCAGAGCATTAAACATAAACTAGATACGCTCTTTGCCGAATTTAAGGACTTTGATATCCTCTCTTTCTCTGAAACATGGCTAGATAGTTCTACACCAAACAGTGATTTAATCTTTGAAGGCTTTCATGAACCAGAAAGGAAAGATCGGTTAGGGGGCAGTCACGGAGGAGTGCTGTTGTATGTAAAAAGCTACTATCGTTATTTGCGTCGTCATGACTTGGAAATTCAAGGAGTTGAGTGCATTTGGGTTGAAATTGTTAGCAAGACAAAACGCTTTCTCTATGGTACTTACTACCGCCCACCTAACACTTCTACTCTACAACACTCCTTAATCGAAGATTCCATTAATCTTGCTGTTGATTCTGGTATACCAAACATCATAATCACGGGAGACTTCAACATAAACATGCTTAATTCTACTGCCTCTAGAAAATTAATCTCACTTAGTCAGCAACTTTCTCTTACTCAACTTATTTCAGAGCCAACCCACTTTACTGAAAGCTCCAACTCACTAATTGATATTATTCTCACATCGAATCCTTTATTCATATACACTGTTGGTGTTGGTGAGCCTCGTCTAGACCAACCTGTCCGCTATCACTGTCCTGTTTTTGGCCTGATAAATTTTAATAAATCAAATACTCACACTTATACAAGGCATATATGGCTGTTTGACAAAGGCAACTATCAACAACTTAGAGAACTTGCAGCTTCAACACATTGGCACCAATTTAAAGACCAAAGCATAGATATATACGCACACAATATCACAGAAGCCATAATAGATATATCAAAAATAAGTACTCCTAACAGAAACGTAACCATTAGACCAAATGACCCACCCTGGTTTCCTCCTAATTTAAAAATACTTATCAGACAAAGACGTAGATATTACAAAAAAGCCAAACGCACCAACACAGAACACGATTGGTTGCAATTTAGGACACTTCGCAACAATATTGTATCAAAAATAAACATTTCTAAAGCAAATCATATACAAAATCTTGCAAATAATCTTAAGACATCACAGCAAAACACAAAATCATGGTGGTCCTGCCTGAAATCATTTATAAAACCCTGTTCCTCTTCCTCTATTCCTCCTCTGCAAAATGGTGATATTTTAGCTGAAGACGAAAAGACAAAAGCAGACATACTGAACGACTTTTT